GCAACCTAAAAAGACACCACTTTTGTGATGCAGATCCACCTGACTTATTTAAAAGCTTTTCAGACAGCAGTACAGGTCGGTTTGTCTTGTCATTTTGACCAATTGAGAGTTTCTGTAACTCTTCATTTACTTCTGTAATAGTGATATGCTTCTCTCTATGAGCTCGAGTCAAAACAAGTTTTAGAACTAAAGGAATTACTCCTTCTAGTAGATCGTGCATTATGTCTGGGGGAAAGGAGGTAGTTGTGTCAAAATAGGGCAGTTCATCAAATGGACATTTACTCTGTACTCCATATATTGCTTTACTGTCTGGATGTTGTACTATACATTCAAGGTGATATTGGTGAACAGCTGCTGTTCTTAAAACAAAACATTCCTCTGTAAACTTTTCTTTCATTTCATTATAAGTTGCCATGCAATACCTACAAATCCTACCAGAGTTGAATGACATGCTGTACCCAGCAAGCATATGAGCAGAGAGATTATCGCTAGAAATCGTTGCTAGTGCTGCATTAACTTTATACTCAATCCCACTAACAGATACAGTGAACCCATTCGTTGCTAGATCTTTGAGATCATCAAGCATTGGTTTCAATATGACATCCCAACCACATTGTTTTACATATGAATAACACACAAGTAAAGCTAAATGAATATTCTTCAATTGAGACCGATAGCGCCCGTCCATATTACCGATTGAATAATAAAAGGCACACAATTTCTGTTTGTTACGTTTAGAACCTAAAGGATTCACTACTTCAAACTCATCCTCATAAAAATGTAGTCGTAAGGAATTCAGATGATGCATGAAGAATGGGTGCTCTGCAAAGTAGACCCCATCGGAATAGTCACTTAAAACACCTTCATTTTTTTGTTGGTTATTGTAAGACTGTATTTCTTCCCAAACATCCACGTGGGAGCAATATTTACGCAGCACTTGACTAAGAGGAACATAGGAGTAGCTGCCCAGTTTGTGTCCTGAAGAACCTCTTAAAGTGTACTGAACAGGTTCAGTCATATCGAGTTTTGACTTGCAATGCTCTTTCAGCTTGTATTTAGACCTAATCACATTTGATGCTTCTTCAAAAAAATCCTTAGATTGTAAAACATTCTGAATTTCAGGGTTTTCTGACATGTTAAAGCCACTTTTGTTTAGGTGGTAGGCTATGAATGCATCATAGTTTTCCTTTAAAAAAGAAAACAAAAAATGGACATCATCAAGGATTTCCTCCTGTACCAACAGTGGAAGATTATTTTTTTCTTTACATTTTAGAATAAAACTAACAAGGTTCTCACTAAACGATGTCAACAGTTCATTCAAGCAGGGAGGCTGTTCGGCCATGCCATTTATGGAGGGATCATTTTCTGCAGCGGCATCTTCATTTTCAAGGTCCATAGGGGGCTCATGCTCTTCGTCATCAGAGGGCAAAATGGAGTGCTTGTATTTTCTGTACATGTGTCTTCTGAAAGACTCATATTTTGAAAATGTACTTTGACAATCATTCAATCCACAAGTTATGTTAAAATTAGACTCAAGTCCAACATGCTGTACTAATTTCATTAGTGTGAATGTTCTTCGAGAGCACTTGAGACATTGATGTAGGCGAGGCATTAGTATAACTGGTTAAGAATTCTGATAACAATGGTCGAGAGCGGCTTATCCCCCTCCTCAGATATTTTCAGGATGCAGCGCTGTACGAAGGTCAAGGTGTTCTTACGGTTTGGTGGGTATGCCATGATGAAAACGAAATATGCGCAAAAGGCTGCGATGACTCCCTCCACCAAATCACTGGCCCTGCGCAACTCTAACCCATCCGTTTTGACCACACTGGGCCCTCTTCTTAGTTTGTTGAAGGGTGACAACTGCATCTCATTCACAGGAAACGTACTATCACTGAGGGTTCCTGCCTAACAATAATAAACGTGTCCATTTCGTCAAGTCATGTGATTGATGTTATTAACAGCAATGCAAGTTAGCTTGTGGCAAAGCATCAATTATCCTTATGATAAACAGTAAGACCTTTAACGTAAGTTAAACTATGCCTGTATCAGATTCAAGTTAAAGCCCAGAAACAGTGACCTCTATAGGTGAACACAGCAAATAGCTGGAGGGAAAAACAAGCACAGTTCATTCCGCAGCTGCTGAGGACACAGCAACGAGGTGAAATTGACCATGTGACTCTGACTTGAACAACACTGATTTTAGCCTGTATCAAAACTTAAATTACAGCTAAAACACTGGCTTTAAACAGAGCTGACAGAGCTTTAAAGTTGAACATTTGGACAAACAAAAGGCGTACTGACTATGTGTGCTGTGGAGTCTGGAGCTCAAACAATGACTTTTCCTCACAACACTGTTTAAGTGTACCTGTTTTCTAGAATAAGGGCTGCGTTAAGTCAAAGACCAAATCACTAGCGACAACGAGGGCTCCCACTGACTGGATTAAATAATGTCTGATGAAAATGTTACGAGCTGACGAAATATTTGAACCTATCGAGACATAAAACATGTCACAGTATTTACCTATTTAAGAAGTTTTTATATTGTACTGATACTGACTACCACTCTGATCATATCCCCTTCCTCAATACTCCCGAAGAAGCAAAGAACGATCATCAATGACAGAGAGCATATGAACTGAATCATTACTCTGTGTCCGCTTCACGCTCAGAAGGGAATATCACGTCTCATCATCGTGGGTAGCGAGACCAATCACTTTAGAAACACATTTCTCAAGTCAGAAACTATAGAAATGATCCCTGAAAGTATAGTCTTAACCTAGAGGCGGCTGAAAACGGTACATACTTCACAAGACTACCTTTCTCAGTCATGGTTCCCTCATACCGTAATATCTGACAAAGGCCACAACTAAATGAGTACCTCACAACTTTTAATATTACCTACAGACAATTTAATCTAATATTGTAAAACAAGAGTTTTATTCAATCTCACAGTTCAATTATTTTGACCCACAATGCATTGCGAATTGAGTCTGTGTATATTATACAGACAACGTCTGTGCTATTTGTTGTGTGTTTAATAAGGATTGTACGAGCCGAACCTACACAATTAACGGTAGTTTTCAATGCTTAAAAATAAGTGAACAGCGACGAAATGTAAAGCACTCAAACGGTATTTAAATTAGTTTACATGTTATATATGGTGAACGGTGCGTCGTATCTAATGTTCCTGACAGAAACAAGTCAGCGAAATGAAGTTCCGTGTTCAACTCCAACAATGGATACGCATAGTTTTTAAGGATTTTGAATTTTTAACATTAAAACTTCGGAAATAACCATGCAGAATAAGTGGTAAACGATTACGGACAGCGAAATGATATTGTAAAATATGGGGGCGCTGCATGTTTTACTGTGACACACCCATAGAGGACACACCGCTATACTGTTGCAGTTTCATCAGTAGGCCTACTGTATTTCCTTCTACACACATTTCTGTAACAACTTTATCGAGGACAAATTCATTGAGTAGCCTAGAGCTCCATCCTGTTCTAAAAACACGTAGGCTAACGTTAAAGAACACACTCTCACAAATATGGTCTTTAAAGCTGTTCATTATTCATAACTTATGACGTCTGATAACAACACTTACATTGTGTACCTTCTTCTGCAAAAGGCGATTAACACAACATGCGTTTAACGAAAAAATAATGACGGCAGGTGAGGCAGGGCTGCCAACCCTCACGCATTGAGCGTGAGAGTCACGCAATTAACCCATATATCATGCCTTTTCTCACGCTAAGTTTTCGTCCAAAATAAATGTATATAAATATAAAAATAAAGTGAAGGAACAGCAAACCGAGTGGTCTATGAAATGAGACGGTCTTCTGGCTTAGTTCAGTAAAATTGGAACGATATTGGGAGATTCGGATTTCACGGATCAATAACTCATGAACAAAACGTTATTCAGACACAAAAGACGTCTCCTAAGTACCGTGGTAAGGTTGACAACGAACTACAATCAAATTTTTGATCAAAAAAAGCCAATACGCGCCGTCCTCCGAGCTGGACACATTACATTGGTCTCTATCCGCAGCCGGAGAAGAAACGAGTGCTCAGGGACCGTCTGCAAAGTGCAACTCCGAAAAAAGAGATTACAATAATATTCAATCACTATTATACAGTATTACTACCAAACTCACTACACACATCAATAGTCTCCTGTGTGTCATACTACAACAAGGAGTTTTGAAGAATATGCTTTTGAATAATATTGGGGAATATTTATAATGTCAACTCTTCAATAAATATGGCATCATCTTCAATAACTTTACTATTATACAGTATATTTCTACCAAACTCACTATTTGCATTGTTGTTGTTAGCATCTGGTTAGCTAGTTGCGCTAACGGATAGAAGCTGTTTCTAAAACAAGGAAAGGGAAAGGTCTGTCCTGTCAGACTGAGAGAGATAACTACAGCTCAGTGAGGTAAGGGACTCTGAGTGTTTAGATAGTTAACTTTAGTCTAGTTATCTCAGTGGGTCTCAAACGGTTTGGTCACCATTTATGAGAATAAATGAATATCAGGTATGAAAACTATATGACAGTAAAACAAGAATACAGTTTTGTTTTTTTTCAGAAAATGTTTTTGTTATATGCCATGGAATGCTCTTAACATCCCGATAGCAATGCATATATTAAATGCTTTCACAATAAATACATAAAAAAATGTCATCTGTGGAAGCCGTAGAAATGTAAAAAGCACGATCAATCATTTTAGCCGGCCCGGCTCAAATAACTGGATGGCCTACCTGCCTGTCAGCCTTCCATCTTGTGCACAAACTTATCTCGTGCCCTCATTGGTCATGTGCACGTTCGTTTGTGTTGGAGGAGGAGCTCTGTAAGGAAGTCCGAATGAAGAGGCTGATTTTTTCCGGTTGTGTACTTTCAAATTCTAGCGCACTCGAGCTGGTTTCTCCAAAATGACATACCCCACCTTTAATGTGTTTCCTAGTGAATGCTCAGTGAATAAATTACTATGTCTGCTTAAAATAGTTTATTCATGCATGGAAATTAAATCACCAGGTCCACTGACTGTGGTTACAAATTCATTATTGCAAACACGGTTAGCATTATTTACATCATGAGAAAAAAGTTTCCAACAACCTTCATTTAAATATATTCAACATTTCCACATCAAGACACAACAAATTCACAAACACTCAAAAATGATATTCAATTATTCGTGCTATATTAAAAACATTAACGATTGGGTCACAAAACACATAATGTAGTCATTGCACATGTTCGGCAATTATGTTGCTGTATAGAGATACACAGTTCTGAATAAGTAGCAGTTTGGCTTGCTATGTGATATTTTCTCAGATGAGAAAGGGAATGTAAAGAAGGCACTGATGTGGATATCTATGTCATATATCTTGCCATATATATTTTCATACATTCAACTAAGACAACACAAAATGTCCAAAACATTAATTGATCCAGTCATGTCATATATTGATATAACAGTATAGGCCTACAATCACAATAATACAAACAAATATCCTCCATGTTCTATGCTGTCCAGGTCAAAGACATAACCTATGCTGTAGTACTATTAAAATAATATAGCATCCTTACTAATGGTGTGTATATTCTCTCTTAGTGTAGTAAACAAACCTACACTGGCTTTAATAGATGTGATCAAACTAAATGTAAGCGAGAAAGAGACTGAAATAGATACAAATAAGAAAAGAAAATAAATATGAACTATAACTTTGTTTAATTCTCCAATTTCAGTGTTTTATTTATTAATGTTGTGCTCTTTCAGTTGTTATAGCTTGTAGTGCAGTGTTCTTTCTTACTTTAAAAGGAATATATTATACATTTAATTGATAATTAAAAAAGCTCATCCATTAAGTGAAAACATTATAAGGGTTGATAACACTTTAAAAAATGAGTATCTTGCTCAGTAATATCTATATTGTTAAACATAATTTGTAATATTGTCTATCCAGAATCAGTAAGCTAAGTAAAACAACAGTTTTCATAGCTTTTTTTAAATGTATAGAAAATATAAATAATCATTGGTTGCAGCTCTACTAACTTGTAGAGGTGCTCGGAGAGTAAAGACTACACTATAAATTATATTTGGCATCAGATCAACTGGAATGACTGGTAAAACCAGAGGTAAATGGTAGTGATTTCAGTCGGCTGTGTTCAGGCATGCTTGTAGTTATTATCTGTGTTTGAGGTCCAATGGAGATCTGTCTTATTAACAGTGTTGTGGAGTCAGGCCTCTAGATAAGAGATGCATTTGACTTATTCCATTTCAGAATGACTTCTTCCTTCTTTTCTCATCCTCCTCCTCTACATCTTCTCCTTGTACTTCCTCCAGAGCTGCTTCACTTGTCTCCTGGCTCCAGAGCGGACACAGCCGGAGAAGGAGGAGTGGTGTCGGCCCTTCACCTGGTAAACACCGAGCAGAGAGAGGCACCGTCACACTGGGAGCCAGAAGTTAGTTCTTCTAAAGTAACTGTGAGTTATGCTATTGCTACAGTGACAATAATATTCAAATCACATTTACATACAAATCTCATACTGTTTGTTTGAGGAAAGTTACGTTAAATGTTTTCGAAAATTCAAAAAATACTTTGCAGATACTTTTGAACTGTGTGCACATTCTGGATTCTCCAAACAGAAGACACTGAGGAACTCACAGTTGCAACTTCACCTTGAAAATGTGCCAGTTTTGGAAGTACAAGTTATGGTTAAAGTGACTAAATGTACACATGGCATGTATTTCTTAACAAGGTTTCAAAGAGAGACAAAGCTAGCAAGGCGAAAAACACATTTAGCATGTAACAGAACATTTGACTGTAATTAAGTTGTTAGTATCTGACTTAACTCAAAATTGCATTACAGTAGAAACAGGCACAATCAAGGTGAAGGTTGAACATGTGAGTTGTAAAGCCATATTACTATTGATAAGTCATATTCCAGGTCAAATGCTTATTGTAGCTGATTTGGTTGTCACTTTCAAATATGTAATGAATATGTTTTTGAAAAGAATACTCAAACTCTAGATTTCAAATTCAAATGATGAGAACAATGAAGACCAGGAACTTATTATAACTTTATGTTGTTAATGCTGGTACTTATCTGCCAGCAAGCTCCCTCTTCAGACAGGATTTAAAGGAGACGGCGCGCTCCAATGATTTATATCCCTAAGAGGTCAGTAGATAGGACGTCATAGCAGAGGAAACAAGTTGAAGAGAAGGATGGGGAATAAGAGAGGCAGAGAACAGATTTGTGAGAGGAGGGAGAGTTTGTAATGATGGCAGCAGAGATGAGTGTGGCAGAAAGAGAAAAGATGTAAGCAAAGCAAAGAAAGACAGAAAACTGTTAATGAGCCAAGACTGTGAGGCCAAGACAGACAGCATTCAAAGCATCCCATAACTTCTAGGTCCACTGCTGTGAATGTAAGTGCTGCTTTGAGCATATTTTAAGCTTGTAACAACCTTACATCTAATGTATGTGTTTAACTTCTGTTGTAAATGAGGCTCTTGAGTGTAGTGTTGTATCACAATTCCCCACTAGAGGGCAGTATCCCTCCTCTGGAAGAACACTGTGAAGTAGCTCGAGGTGATTTCCAGTTCAGTTTTTTATCGCTTCATGTAATTCAGTGATGTTGTTAGCAGCTTCTTCCTAAGAGCTATAAACCCTGTATGGCCAATATATAACCCCCTGAGAAAAGGCACAACCATGTCAATATGTGTATGTTCCTGCATTCCTGTTCTTAGTGTTTAATGAAAGCTCATAATCAAAATGTATTTATGGGTTTATGGTATTCCGTGTAGTTTTACACCTATGATTATTTTAAAGGGTTGTTTTTGTTACTCTGGCCGCACGATTCGTTTCCTGTAGTTATTGGAGTTAATTTGCAGGGGCAGCAGGGCGATAATGGCCAGTGTTGTTTTAAAACCATTTACAATGAACAACCTTTTAAACAGCAGGGGGTCTGGTAGTTATAGCAATTACTCTACAACTCGAACAAACAAAGCCCCCTTTACAAAAACAACTGTTAGATTGCTACCTTAATGCTGATCGTTTCCCTGTTCTAATTATTTGCCATTGTTCACATTTTCTTTTTAAATGTGTTAACCTATGACAAGAAGGTGTCATGTCATCTTATTGTCCTCGCTGTGAATTATATTTGGCCCATAGATCTATCATTTTAGGCTGAGTAGTTAGTCTGAAAGTGCTTTTTCTCCACTGCAACACTTATTGTTTCTTTCCTCACCCTGGCTCCCCTGTGCAGCCGGTCCTTCATTATTCCAATGAACTCCTTGTAGGAGAGCTGGTCGTCGTGATCCACGTCAAAGATCTTGAAGATGGTGTGTACGAGGTGACGTGTCAGCTTCAGCCCAGTGGCCACATACACCGCTCTTGCAAACTCATCTGGTAGAAGAGAGAGCAAAAACAATTCTGATTAATTCGGCCACTTGTTGTACACCAGGAACCTACCATCTGTGTGTGTAAGCAGAGACCCTCGGTGCCTGTAGCCTGCAGCACTTCCTACCTTGTCCAATGGAGCGAGAAGCAAAATTGTACATCTGCATGGCAATGGCAAAGTCCTCGAGGTTGTTGAGAAACTGGAAGAATGATCTGAACTCATCGAAGGTGATTCCCTGAAATACCAGAAAACAACACGTGAACCCCCCAGAAATGGACTCAAGGGAGAAATATATTGATGAAATATTGATCCTGTCAAAGGACGTTGACAGACGTGCATATAGCATTCAATGAGGCAAATCCACTCTGTTGTCTGAAATATGAACCAACCAAAACCAGCTGAACATAACTCATACCATCAATCAATAACTGAGAGATTCCGTGAAGAAGTCCTATTAATGACATAAAAGGTCATTAATACCAGCATTGTATGTGCATGATATTGACAATTTCAAACCTTCTTGCAGTGTTTCATACAAAGTAGTTGCATTCAATGCTAAAGCCATTCAACAAGTAGCCGTAGAAACCCCATGCTCTTTGCTGTGCATCATCAATCTAACTTGTGACGGCTAAATTAATAACACACAGTATACAGTAAACAAAACCATACACTTGAACAAATAAGGAAATGCAGTCTTTGCAGGTTAAAATGAAAGGATGCAGATTAAAATACACAGAAAAACTACTAGTGTATCTTCCCCGACATGGAGAAAGAAATAAGTAACTAAATAGCAGGATAGACAGATTGTAACTGCGGGTTGTGTATCGTACAGGCAGAGACCAACCTTCTGCTTCTCCCACAGCATGAAAAGGAAAGAAGGGAGGGACAGAAATAGAGTAGGGTTGCATAAGATGGCAATGTATAGCAATGTAGATAGATAGATAGATATTCCCATGCAGCTATATGTGCACTCAAGTGTGTGTGTGTGTGTGTGTGTGTGTGTGTGTGTGTGTGTGTGTGTGTGTGTGTGTGTGTGTGTGTGTGTGTGTGTGTGTGTGTGTGTGTGTGTGTGTGTGTGTGTGTGTGGTCAAGTGAGGCAGTGGAGCGCTGAAGTGTGGAGAGCCACAACAGCCTCGGGGTTAGACAGTGGTGGGAAATTACAATTGCTCTAGATGGCTGGAAGGCAAGACCATAAAGCAGGAGGAAATCAAACAGATAAAGGATAAGGAAAGGTATCTGGTGTTATCTAAAATGTGCAACATTTTCTAATTACACATTTTACTACCACCTTTTGGTTATTCTGCAGCTATCATGTTTTTTTTTGCTTCACATTTTTAGTCCATGCTTCAAAGAGGACCTTATTAACTTTAGGAAATGTTAACTGATTATTACCTGACATCCTTACGGGGCCATTCATTCCCAGAACTACAGCATACAACAGGGGATGGGTCTTTTAACAGGGGGTACGTGAACCCTATGCGGTCCTCACAGTTACTGCAGGGAGGTCACCAATTATTGGCAGATAATACATTGAATTTTTGTTTTGCTTTTAGAGACTAGAATGTCTGAAAAAACAAATTGGACCACCTTACTTGACAAGAGTGTATGTCTCAAAGCCATTGGGTAGGACACAATGTTTTGTGTCGAAAACTACATTTAAAGGAACGTTAACATGTTATTCAGATTTTGTTGTTGTTGTTAGATAAAGATAGTTTTATTCTAGCGAACCAACACAAAACACGCAGAGACTCAAATAAATGACTTTAGATAGTACAATAACATCCACAGACAAACAGTCAATGTAAGGTAATATTCATTTTGATGACATTTTCCGCTTTCACACCAAGTACTTTGCCGTACTTAGTTCCCAGTACTTAGTCCCACCGAACTCTTTAGTCCCGTACCTGTTCTAGTAAATCGCGTTCACACCGGAATAAATCCCTGAGGGAGGATTAGGCAAATTAAACCGCTGACGTCACTTCTTCTTCTTCTGCTTTAGGTTTACTGGCAGGCCGCAAACACCCGAAGTCCCGGAGTCCTCCGGAGTCCGGGACACCTCCTCATCACTCCACCGATCCCACGTTTTATTTTGTGTTGCCATAAATTAGTCTCTCTCCGTTGGTGCGCTGGGCTAATGCTAATGCTAATAATGCTAATAAAGCAAATAAAATGGCGGCTTCACAAAAACTGTTAAGTTTTACGGGGCGTGGTTTGCAATTCACCCAGCCAATCAGAAATTGGAACCTTTTTCTCACCAGGAAAGTCCCTGCTCTCTACCAGGGACTACAAAAGGGGTGAAAAGGTTCGCAAAAAAAAGTTCTAGTTCCAGATTTTTTTGGTGTGAATGCAAAATCCCAGGAACTATCGGAACTATTCCTGGGAAAAGTACTCCGGTGTGAAAAGCGCCTATAGATTTGTAGTGTGTGTTCCTTGGAAAAAACAGTGTGCTTGTATGTAGTTTACCTTCTCGTCAGGTATACAGTGGCGGACATTCTCCAGGTAGGCGCTGATGTTCTCCACATTGGTGAAACGAAGCAGGATTTTGGCAAAGTCTTCTTCACTGATGGTGGTCATTCCTTTAGAGTAAGTCAGAAACTCAATTTCCAACATTTCTGTTTGGAGGTTATCCATAAACCTGAAAAACAGCCAGGACAGGAAAGGAGGAGAAATATATTTTACCTTAAGCTTTATCAAAATAAACATGTTGCTATTTTGTGAATTTGTACCTGTAGAAGTCATCAAATGTAAGCTCTGCTTTCCCTTTCTTCCCAAAGAAATGGACCAATAGGGTGGTGTCGATTGTGATACTCTCATCTGCTCGCTATGAATCATCAGAGAGGGAAAAGCGACAGAGAGGATCAATGAGTGACTGATCAATAAACATCAAGCAATGTGATTGGAGGAAAAGCAGTGGGCGGGTCAAGTCCATCATCATCAATCCAACATGGCAACCGTGGTGCCAGGCTAGCAGGAAGCATCAACAACAAACTGTCAATCAAACGATCAGCTCAGACAAACAGTCAGCGGCCATCATGACATCAAACCGGTCTAGGCAGCAACTATATTTAGGTTAAACCTCTTAAATGCGATGAGTATTGTAATAAATAACAGGCAGGTTCACAATATTCCCACAATGATGGCAAAATCAAACTTAGATGAAACACTTTAAAGCTTTCAATATAATTAAGTAAGTGAAGAGAAAAATTGACAAAACGGGGGTAATAAGGTAAAATTGACAGAAATGTTTTTGTCCATTTTACTATTTGCATTCTACAAATCAAATCAAACAAATCCTTATCATTTGTTTTTGATAACAAAGAAAGGATATTAAATGAGAGGTATGGAGATATTTTTTTAATTTCATGCTGCCTAGACTGGTGAAGAGAGTTGCTGTAGCAGCATGAAACACAGACATCTTCTGGTCTGGTGAAGACACAGGGAGGGTTCGGACAGCAGAACACAAAGAGACACAATGACAAACAGAGTCATGCAAATATTCATCGAGCCGGAAGCTGTTGAGCAAGAAAGTATAAGAAGGAGACACGAGCTGGAGAGTGTAGTCAATTGAAACAGCAGAGGTGAGAGAAAGAGAGATGGACAACTAATGGCGAGACATACAAACACACATAACGACATGCACTTCTCTGAATGCCACATTGACACTCATACACAACTTTGAATCAACAAGAGCAGCACGCATCAAACACACATAAGCACAAAGCCGATCCCACCTTTTTCCGTCAACAGACGAGAATTATAGTGTTATATTTTCAACCTTTTGTTTTCCTCGTTATATTTTGACTCTGGTAACATATTCTTTAATTGAATATTTTGACTGTCTGGCTTCCCTCCACAGTTTGCAAGCATGTTTAAATGATTGATCCGGGTCATTTGAAACACATTTTACAGGCTTTGGGATGTTTGGTCTCGTGCTATAATTTGTTGCTGAACATTTTCTAAATCCCTTAGAAAAACAGGGTGAGTTTTATAAGGCTTCAAGGAAACTGTGCTAAGTATGTACTTCATGTCAATGCTCCCTTACACATGTATCTCAGAAAAAGGTGACTGTGCTTTAGCGCAGTTCCAGAAAAGACTGAGCCAGCTTCAGTGCTTAAAGAGAGGATGTCAAACGGCCATCTTTATTCTCTCTATCTGCCATGCCCCACCTAGCCAACCCCCTCTGTCCAATCCACGGCCATGCTGAGCTATATGCAGACATATCAAGTCCTTCTAAAGTGGAGAAGCATTTCCATCATCAAGATATTGATCATCATCACAACCACAATGCCATTTGTAGTTCTACCTTAAGAGTAAAATCCTAAAATCCGACGTGGGACAAAAAGAAAATGTCACACAAAATCACACAGGTTTACAAACTATAAAGATTCACATCTCTGACAGATGTTGAATCTGTTGAGTTGTTTGTAGCGTTGTTAAATGTATATTCATTCTGTCAATAATTAGCACGTGATCAGAACAGAGTTGGTGGGAAAATTATGGAGAAAGTAACAATCCAAAGACAAATTACAAGGAAATCAGAAGCATATTTTTCTATTTCAAGAATGAGATGATGACACCCACACCAAACGACACTATTAATAATCTAATATGGTGAGATGTAACAGATTAGGGACTAACCAAATTTGAATGGACATACACTGTAGTCACATAACTCAGAGGATAAATATGTCTTCTCGGAAACAACATTTAAAGTAAACCGTCTTTTAGGGCCACAAACATTTGTGTGACTCGTATCATTCAGTCTGTTTCTGATTCACATTGCAGTCTGGTCTCAGTCTTTGATTAGGAAGTCTTCTTTGATATAAACAGACAAACGGACCTCCTATTTAAGTGTCTTGTTTTCGTTGTCTCACTTATTCCAAGGTCTTTTCTTTAAGTCTCTGATTACTGACAAATGGGGTAAAGTTTCATTTACTCTTTTATCTTGTGACTGACACATTACTGATGTCTTATGACACATGAGCAGTTCATACATCTAGACAGCATCCAGGTGCTGAGTCTCTGGTGAATTTTTTTTTTCTCTTGGTCATTGGCATCTTTCTCAAATACAGCAAGAATACTAAGCTTTAAAAAATTCCAACCAATGTGACATTTTTTTAGTTGCTCTATTTTGTTTTTACAGAGTAAAGGTACAACACAAGTGTGATGTTGAACCTTCGTATGATTATGTGTTAATGTTACTCTCCAGTTTGTTTGTTTCCCTGCAAGTATGTGTGTTGTGTTCGAAGTCCAACTAAGTCTGACCTCAGGTAAGACGTAATGCCAAACTGATCAAAACAAGCTTATCATTCCTGGAAGTGTGGCAGCAGCAGTGTGAGCTCATCATCCCCATGAAGACGTAATGGTTACCACGCCCACAAGGCACGAGCCAACACCTGGTGTGTCTATTTGTCCATCTGTGTGAGTGTGAGCGTTTCAACAGACTTTGATCATGGAGCTGAAGGTAAAAACAGTAATTACTGATGTAAACACTAAACGTTCTTCCTCACCCTCCCTATCTGTGAGGAATACCTTGGAGGAAGAGCTCATTGTCGCTCTTTAGTCAAGTCAGTCACACACCTTACAGCAAACCCTCCCTTTCCCCCCCTCCTGTTTTATCTCTCACCTTGTGTGTCTCCCCCCCATCACTTCTTTCTCTTTAATCCTGCCTCTGCTCTGATTTCCTTTCTCCTCATGCTACGCGTCAGTACCTCCTTCACCTGACAAACATGAAGGTGATTCGCTCTTTCTTTCCCTCCCTCCTGCTCAGCCTGTCAGTCAGTTCCTCCTTCTCCAGACAAAAGCAAAGATCTATAATGGTGACTAATCTGTTGAGTAAACACATCTCTCTCTAAATGCAACCTGCTTCTTTCTTTTCTCCTAAAAGTGTTTCCCGAACTTCTTCTCTCCCCCACCCACTTTGTTCCTCACCATTTGACCTGTGTCATCTTCTCCCACCTGTTTGTTGTCTCCCTGATTGTATCTCTTCCCTTTTTTCTACCCCCTCAGGTTCCCTATGCTTATCTGATGTGGTAAAGATTTGTTACAGTTTTAAAATGTTCTTTCACTTGTAATATTCCATTTTTAGTTTTATATATTTGAATCACACTTTCAATGCCCCTGTTTTTCTTGCTTTTATTTTCCTCCCCCATAGTCCGATTCGCCTGTTCTGTCCGTCTGACATCCCGTCAGATGAAAGGCTGCTGGGTGTAAATACAAGGTCAGTCCCATTATGCTCCACTGTCATTATCTCCACCTCAGCTTCCGCTGCCACCAGAGCACATAGCCTGTCATTAGTCACTTAGCTTACTAGCACTGTTAGCTGTTATTTATCATTCCCAGTAGCTTCACCTTCTGTTAGGAAGACTATTTTAGTTTCACATGCACAAGCCATTGGCTTGCCACAATGGGACAGTCTGCTGACAGACAGCATTTTAAACAATGCAAAAATGTTTTGATTTTTAGTTCTGTTTGATTTCAACTGATCGTAGGCCATTCTAGTCTGTTTCAAGATGGCAATGGCAGTTTGTCTCGTCCACCTCTTTGGTTGACTAAAATATCTCATCGACTTTTAGATGGATTGCAATTCATTTTCGTACATATATTCATGTTCTCCAGAGGATAAACCCAACTAACTGATTTTTACTCTACTGCCAGAGGTTGACATTTATTTTATTCATAGTGAATTGTCTCTACTATTATTGGACGGATTGCCATGAGAAATCTTTAATCTTTCAAACACTGGTTCACGATTAAATACCTGCAAGTTAATAACGTGTCCCTCACTGTACTTTGTGTTTAGTGCATTCTGACCCGCTACACATGGCATACTCTACTTAACGTAATATCAACAGTATTATTGTTTTTAGCATGTTAGCATGCTGACGTTTGCATTGAACTTAAAGGTCCACTTTGTTTACATACAGCCTAACAGATCTGCTGCATGGCTGTAGATAGTGGGTCTTGTTTTTCTAAATCTATCCAAAAAATGTTTTAATAAAACATTTTTTAAATCTTGAATGATGAAAGTAGATATATAGGGTTGTTGAAAGCATTACAAAAGCAACAGACCATTGTGTTTCTACCTCAGTGTGTGGTGCTATACCAATCCAGTTTTTGTTTCTGCTTTGCGGTCAGCCTTCTTATAATTTTAAAGTGTCTTAAACATGTTGTTGAGTAAACTCAGAATGACTAGACATCAAAGCTGCAACACTAGCCACAATACAGCACAGATAACAATGCACGGATACACATACAAAAGCATAACGAAGAGACCAAACGGCAGTAGGCAGGGTGAGAAACAGAACAGGTTATCAGAATATGCACATTACAGCATCTATTATCGTACTACCATTATTGGATCAATACTGTCACACCAATACAGTAGGTAAATCCTTAAAAAACAATATTCTCCAAGAACAAATATTAAGAACTCAAATGTGTTCTTCAGTAACAAATGAGTGACACAAAGAAATGGGTGAGACACTTCAAATGTTTGGAGGAGCCTGGAGTTATCTTTACCCACAACTTTCTCTCAGTTGCAGATGAGATCACTTTAATGAACATATTATGTTCAGTGCAAGAAAGTCTATTAGAACTCATCCAAACAAAAATGATTTAATTTTTTTATAAATGGAGGAATGACAGTATGTATCATACTTAGGGGTGTAAAACAGTATATAAAAGATACTTAGAAATCTGAATTATATAGGAAGTAATGTTTATAGGTAAGACAGAATGAAAGAAAGATGAGAGTCTATGCAAATCATTAGTATCAAGCCAAACCAGAATAAGTGTTATTTTTTCCATATAAGTCCATATTGACAAACATGTTATTTGTATGGCAATGAGAACATGTCAATCAAAACATTTGCTATCTGCAAAAACGTTTAAGCATGATTGCACTACAAAAGTTAAAAATAAAGGCTCTCAAAGCTTTTATTTTGAAAGAAAAAATGTCTAGTCTTATTCTGGCCAAGCTCTGGATCTATGGGGGGAGTTGGAGGATCAACAATAACTACAGGGAACTAAAGAGGAAGAGTGATGGATGAAGAATGGGGGGACAGAGGACAGTAGGGTCAGTGTACCTCTGCCAGGTCAGAAAAAAGGACTTGACTTGCGCCTCGCCTCAGAACGTCCCAGTAACTCCGCGCCACAAACTCCTGACTGTCTTTTTTTAGCACCTGTAGGAGCGGTCAAGCAGGGCCAGGGTCAGTTCACCTACAACTCAACCACTTTATGAAGGAAACATCAGCTTCCAATATTGACTCTATCAAATCTCATATACAAACAGATAGATTGATTTATATGTTATCATTACATTACTTATACTGTACATATAGAGCATATTCATGAACAGTGTGTTAAACACCCTATTGAACTACCTTCTAAGGGAAACTTCATATTGTTCAGTTTTGACAAACCGGAGAGAACAAATAGTAAACTAACTAGTACTGAGGTACTGGAAATGTTTTGCTAACTCTACATTGGTGAGTGCTGTTTATTAGAATAATTAGCAAAAAACAACTAGTAAAGAGGGAAAATGTGAATGTTTATAATAGTTGTTCTGTCATCACTACAGTTTAGAGTAGTGATATCCATTTGTAATGTTAGATTTAACAATAAATTCACCCTATCAACTGTAATAAGCACCAGGCATAGAAACCCCTGTAATTGTTTCAAACAAAATAGGAATGAAGGGATGGTCAAATGTAGGTTTATGTAATTAACCTCTAAAGCAAATACAAAATTCTCCGACCCAAAACATTTTCAGATGAGTCGTCTGAACATTTTGCTGTCCCAAACGCCACAAAAAAGAGCTGCTGCCTATCTGAACGTATCCTGCTTTGATAAAAGTCGACCATGCTGCCTATCTCCTGACCACCCACCACGCCTGTCTCTCCAGGGACAACGCAGCAGCAGCCATTTTAACATGACCCTGCACTGCTCTTAACTTCACAGTGACAATGCAGCTATCAATCATGACACCGACAGAAGGAGGAGTGTTTGTATGTGTGTGTGTGTGTGTGTGTGTGTGTGTGTGTGTGTGTGTGTGTGTGTGGTGTGTGTGTGTGTGTGTGTGTGTGTGTGTGTGTGTGTGTGTGTGTGTGTGTGTGTGTGTGTGTTGTGGTGTGTGTGTGTGTGTGTGTGTGTGTGTGTGTGTGTGTGTGTGTGTGTGTGTGTGTGTGTAAGACACATAGAGAGAGAGAGAAAGAAAGAGTGCTTCTAGTCTGACAAGAGGCCAGTGGCTGGTAGTTTACAGTTACTGGACAGCACACATCCATTCTGACATTTTTGCTGCACTATACTACATCTGCATCAATACATTTTCATCACCCTTGGGCTTTAGCAAACATGTCCAGTGGTTATCATCATATCTCTCTGTAGCCTTGAAATGTCCTGCTCTCTATGCGTGTTAACAAACCCCCAACAGAGACAGAAACATTGCCAAACAAACAGCACACGTCCCAAAACAGTCTGAAATGGACAGTGTCTGATTGTGTTTAAAGCTTTAGAGTGCCTCAAGTCATTTTAAATCACATCACTCTCTTTTTGCAAGAGTTCATCTCTCCTGACCCCGTAAATCTATTACTCCTTCATAGCCATCCCCTCTCCATTCATCCCACCCTCTGCCATCGTCCCCCGATCAATCAGCCAGCTGACCTGACAGATGGATGCTCTTGAAGGAAGTCTCTCTCTATCCCGCTTATTCTTTCTTTTCATTCATCCTTTCAACTGTCTACTGTGTTCGTTTGACTGAAAACAGAGGATCAGGTGGACCGGGTCAGGGTTAGGCGTTTTTCAAAGACCAGGTCAGGACACAAAAGTGGGTGACAGAGGCATTAAACCAAGTCCTCTAAGTATCCCAATATAATTGACATATACACCTTACAAACGTACCAAAGTCCCCGGAATGAAAGGGTGAATTTTACTTGACAATTTACTTGACACTCTATTGGACAGAGGCAGCAGTGCTTCCTCGCTGAGCTTTGGATGAGAAGGTCTATACCACTCTTGAGTTTGAATAGTAAATATGAAGCTAGAATCAGGTGACGGTTAGCTAAGCATAAAGAATGTAAGCGGGGGAAACAGCTAGCCTAGCTCGGTTTGAAGTTAAAAGAGAAGCCTACTGATAGGCACAGGGACTCTCTGCAGTATCTTTGTCACCGTAAGTTTGCCAGGCAACCAGAAGAGAGGTCCCAAGAAATAGTCTTACGCACAATCCCCTATTAAAACCACGACATACAGTGCACATAGGTGTAATTACAGGTGTTGGTAGGCCGATTCCAGTACCTGAAATGTTTCATTGGACTAGGCTAGCTGTTTCCCCCAAGCTTGCTTCCAGTCTTAACGCTTACCTAAGCTAACAGGCAGTTTGCTTTAGCCATATCATTTATAGATTTAAGAGTGGTATTGATCTGCTGACCTCACTATTGGCAAAAAAGTGCAAAAAAGCGCAAAAAAACTATTAATTATTTACGTAATTATTCACAATATTGCCCAATGCAAATTAGGATGATTGATTGAGACATTTTACCCAAAAATAAGGTCAAAGAAATTATAAATGTTTTTATTAGTAAGATGTTATGCAGAAAACATATTTCCAACATGACCACTTATTATTTTATCACCACAATGTTTAAGTCCCATATGTGGTTTATTTAAAAAAAATTACGTTTTCTGTCTTCTTTTACAAATGAAACAAAGTATTATGTCGCAATTTAGCTGACAGAAACAGCTAGCTGTCTGTTCCTCTGTTTATCCTTCCATCCATTTCTTAAACCATCAAAAGACGAGCAGAAGAGAGACTAAGGGGTTATGGTTTTGGATACATACGCTGTTCATGGGGGCAACCTGATATCCATAGAGCTGCATACTCTAGCACACAGAGAGAGACACAAGAAAGAGGAGCACAGAGCATGCAGCCAGAGAGGAGGAGGGAGGAAGAGAGAAGGTAAAATACATGTTAGTACATGCAGAGAGGCTGTGGATACGCTCTTCAAAGGGATGTGTCATTTTCAACACATCCGTGATCACATTTTAGAACAACACACACTTTGCATTACAACACTGTTTCAAGCCCATCCAACACTTGGTTTGGGAATAAAATACAATATATATTTGTACAGTTACAGTAAAAAAAAAATATGATTCCATATTTAGGTCGGCAACCTTGAGAGCCTTGAAAGGAGCCTATATAAATAAAATGTATTATTGTTATTATTATATTTGGGTTGGCAGATATTTTACATTTCTGTACAAAACTAGCACTTTTAAAACAGCAGCACTATTATATTTTTGTATTTAGATGTATAGCACATATTTTGTATAGTATTTTATATATTCTGTACAGTTGTTTATTACTCTTTTGTATATATATATATATGTTCCTTGTACATTTCTGTATGTATTTGTGTCATGTTTTATTGTATTCCACTTTTCCATTTCACATTTTTACTATACACAATACTTTTTAAAAATAATATATGTGGTTAGTTATTATTGAAGTCTCTCACTATGTTAATGTTATGCACCAATACACATTAATTGTATGTGAAAACCTTCTTGGCAATAAACTAGATTGGATATTCTGATATTGGCATATCTAGATATTAGCTGACATATTGTCATTTGGCTATAATTCAGCATGAAGGTTTTCAAGCCTGCAGCTATAATGATAAAAAAAACATTGTTCAGTGTAGTAAACCATAGTGACCTCTGTTGTTCAAAAACAATCACAGAAGTGTCAAAAAAAGACACATTCTTTTAAGAGTGTATTCCATATAACAAGTTCACAGTAAAACAGAGGAGATACCACACTGTCAAAACAGTCTCTATAAGGGAGCATGCACTCAAACATGATTACATGAAGGGTTTATCTAACTGTAATACTTGCTTAAGTATAGATGACAACAAACTTGGATGATGATCTGTCATTTTCAATACATCCATAAGACACAGCATTTGTTTTACACCTTAAGAAACCGAGAGGTGATGGATGCATTAAATGCCATTTTAAAAGGGAAGGAACTTACAGTAATGTGTTATTTTTATATTTTAACTGGTACATTAACCAGAAGTTAAATAGCAGCATCACTGACGTCCATAGTATTAATGTTTTCTTCACAATTGGAGCGATTAGTGAAATAAGTTTACCTACCTCTCCTCACACACAAACACACACTTGTCCCAGGTTACCAACTTTCTTACCAACTGTGCCGACTTCTCCGCATCTCCTTTCCTCCCTCTTTTTTCATTTTTTTTTCCGGAAGATCTCCTGAAGCTATAATGAGAGAAAGCTCTGTTTGAAGCTTTGAAATGATCATATGCACACAAATTCAATGAGTGCACAGGTTGAAGTTAAATAATTGTTTTCATACTGGTCTATGATATGATTCAAGTATGGGCCTTTTGACAACTTGATTAAGAGATTGTTTGTCTCTAGTTTGACATTTAAAGGGATTTATGGTCACATATTGTATACTCAAAGTTGAATCAATGCTTGATGCAGAGAACTTCAGTTGTGTTACTAGTAATAGTTAATTCATCACTATTCCCTTTGATTGACTACAGATGTCAATTTTCAGCAGAAAGATCAGAGCTCATCACCAAACACTAATTTGTTAAGGTATACTCCCACAAGATCATCAGCCATTACCATCCCACTCCAGCAGCCTCCACAGGGATTATGATCACTTCCTGCCTGCAGCAGTGTTTTCAGTTGAAAATCTGTTGGTCCAATCCCACAGGGAAAGTGAGACACATGCAGCCATCTAGGTTTTATTCTAAAGAAATTATTTTACTCAAATGCTCTATTGATTATCCGTTGAAAAGTAAAATGGAAATCAGCTTTTAAATGCTGTGAGTGTAACAAATAGCTTCAGGCCTTTGGGATTCAAGGTTCATAAAAACATGAATCGTCCATCCCTGTTTCACTTCACACTTATTCTAAATATCTATGATATCATAGCATTGCCCATCTGTGTCAGGAGTGATGTTACAAATAACATTAATTCAGTCATTGGGTGGATTTTCTCCCAGTATCAGAGACTCACCACCAAGAACTCCCTCTTGTCCACCATCTGGTTGCCGTCTGCATCAAACATATTGAAAGCAATCTTAAAGCCAGCATGGGGCTCTGGAGAACAGAAAGGAGAGAACATAGGGTGAGGGTGTGTGTTTGTGTGTGTGTGTTTGTGTGTGTGTGTGTGTGTGTGTGTGTGTGTGTGTGTGTGTGTGTGTGTGTGTGTGTGTGTGTGTGTGTGTGTGTGTGTGTGTGTGTGTGTTCTATTCTAAATCCAGAAATAGCATGGGAAGAAGTGGTATACAGGCTATACAGGGGGAGGTGGGGCATGTGAATAAATATATATGGACTTTAAGATACAGTTAATATTTATTTATTTATTTATTGAACAATTCGATTTACTTTAAAGGGGACCTATCATGCAAAATGCACTTTTGTACGTCTTTTATACATGTGTCCCTGGTGTGTCAGGGAACTCACCAAGTGTCAGAAAACACAACCCTCTCTCTTTTCCTCCATACCCAAATCTCTAAAAACGGGGCTGCAACGGATCTGATTCAGACTGATCCAGATTTGAAATTGTTCTGACATCAGAAACGGGGTGCTCCGCCTATATGGGCAACTCTCCACCTATCAGGGGAATGAGAGGTTGCCGTGGCATGGTAACAGCATGGTAACATGACGCTCGTGCCTCGCCCCCCTCCTTTGCAGGGGGGCGTGGTCAGCTGCAGCTCATTTGCCACAGAATCAGCCCTTGTGAAGACAGGGCTGGAATAGAGCAAATAGAGTGAAATGAGGCATGGCTAAAATGCATGATCTGTTTGGTATTTTGAAAAAAAAACATGTTTTATATAGGTATGGCCCTACAATATATTATTAAAATATTGCATGATAGGTCCACTTTATGTTTTTTCTCCTTCTCCGTGTCTCTCTCTTAATTTCCTTTTTACCCCAAGGGGGAAAAAAACATTTATTATCATTATGGTAGCAAACCGTCTCCCAAAATAAGCACAGCATACTGCTAGAGTAAAATCAGAAAGCAGAAGATGAGAAGAGGATTTGTAAAGAGACTGAAAAGACTCACTTGTCAGGATGCAGAGCAGGAACAGGTACTCTGTGTATGAGACGATGCCTGGTAATGAGACCAAGACAGAGAGTTAAAGAAAAGGTCACATTCAACACACACAATGTTTACAGATGTTCAAAGACCAGACACACACACACACACACACACACACACACACACACACACACACACACACACACACACACACACACACACACACACACACACACACACACACACACACACACACACACAACACACACACACACACACACACACACACACACACACACACACATAATCCCCCCCTTTCATGAAGATAGTATCTAAAAATGTGTCTTACGGAGCTGAGCTGCCAACAGCCATTTGACCACACACCGTTTCTTTTTCCACACCCCAAGTGTCCAAAGTAAAGACACTGGTTGGTGGGGTGTGTGCATGTGTCTGTGTTTGGATAAGCAAGTGAAAAATGTCTCAGGAGGTGATCCTTTCTTGCCTCAGGCCCATTTAGGAATCTTTGTAGCTCTGTCTCATCTCTCTCCCGCTTTTTCGCTTTCTGTCTGATGGCTCAGATAGTTCAGGGTGACTCGCTTGAGTGTTACGGGAGACTGCTTTCCCCATGTGTGTGTGTGTGTGTGTGTGTGTGTGTGTGTGTGTGTGTGTGTGTGTGTGTGTGTGTGTGTGTGTGTGTGTGTGTTTCAGTGAACATGACACCAATGAAAACCAGTGTGAGCCTAGTGTTTTCCTGATGCCCGACTGCTTTGTGTAGAGGAGCTGGTTTGGAACTGAATTCTCTTTTCCTCATGTAGCCTGAGCTGTGTAAAGACCAGGAGATACACTCTGAAAGTGCTCGGGTTTCTCAAATACATTCTGCATGTTTGTGCTCACAGACTTTCAGGGAAATGTTGTTACTAATCCTCATTAGGAGAAAACCTCTCCATCAAAGTCAATGATCAGTGTAAACTAAACTGAATGTAGGTGATAACACTATGTTTGCTATTTGTATATTTAAATTACATTATTTATGCAATTCACTGATTATTATATTATATTTAGAAAAGCCTGCTTATAATTACTATGCATAGTAAATACAAAAAGATATATGTTTACCTTCTATTAAATAGCAAACATTTTTATAAAAGTAGTAGGGGATCACTGTCGCACTGACATTGTCATATGACAGGAGCACTGACTTATGATCACTCAAATAAAATGTATCCTTTGCGTATACTTTATATGATTTTGAACTGGTGATAGGGTTAGAACATCTTAAACATCCATCTAGATCCACATTAGTGTTGACATCAAGTGTAAACCAAATCTATTACTGTAACATAAAAGTGGTAAATCTGATCTCACTGAGAACCAACAGTGGTCAGTCTCCTGTAGCTTTCAGCTGACTACTTCTAGCAGTTTAACAGGTACACCTCAGTCCAGACACTTTTCATAAAGCAGAGACGTTCCTATCTAGCAAAATACCTCACAATTGAACACTGAAATAACTTTTAAATGTAATATTCATGGACACAAAGTAAAAAAAACAATAGCTGTTGAACATTCTTTTCAACAAGCTACAATAGATGTCATGTAAATGCCCAATACATTGGATGCTTCTAAACTAAAGTACTTCTATGTATTTTCAAGCCCCCACACACACACACACACACACACACACACACACACACACACACACACACACACACACACACACACACACACACACACACACACACACACACACACACACACACACACACACACACACACACACACACACACACACACCACACACACACACACACACACACACACACACACACACACACACACACACACACACACACACCACACACACACACACACACACACACACACACACACACAGTAAGAAAGCCGGTTTAGGTAAGAAAAACAACAAATTATTTGTAAAGAGGTATTGTTGAATACTGTGTGTGTGTGTGTGTGTGTGTGTGTGTGGCCTAGCATTACTATACTTGTGGGGACCTAAATCTGTGTGTACACAATCACGTGTGGGGACTCGCCTCCCTTATGGGGACAAAATGGAGGTCCCCATGTGGGGAATCATTAATTTTAGGGTGAAGACTTGGTTAGGTTTAGGATTAAGGTTAGGGTAAGGTTAAGGGTAAGGGTTAGGGTTAGGCATGTGTTGGTTATGGTTAAGGTTAGGATAAGTCTCCAGGAAATGCATGTAAGTCAATGTAATGTCCCCTGAAGTGATGTATACATGGTATGTGTGTGTGTGTGTGTGTCGTATAAATATGTACTCTTTTCATCAGTAAGGAACATGTGTGTTAAGAGTTGGAGGCCAGCCTCTCAAAAAATCCTTCAATGATCTCAGCTCCTCTTCACATTGTGTGATTAAGCAACAGTCTTGTTTATATTCAAAAACGTTCACAAGCTTTTCTGTTGACTGGGATCAGCTGATTCTCAACACTATTTGGTTTTGTCGGCATCTGGGAAGTCCTTAGACTTCAAACAAGCAGTGTCATTTTATTTAATTATTATTTTAAAATTGGTTTCGGGATGCAATGTCTTATACAGTGTAAAACCAGGAGAAAACCAGTTATTTTTCCAAGCTACATTCCTGTATTTCACCTTGTATACAGATGTGTAGGTTATATTCGTATAACCTACATATATATATTTGTATGAGAAAAGAGCATGTGGCTTCCCAAATCCCTATCCCCTCCAGGCTCCAGTGATGCAGAGCCAGTCACTGCTTTACCCCCAAAGCAACAATGTGGTGCATGAAACAGCAGGCTGGTTCCCTGTGGAGAACAACATGCTGGAGTGGCAGACAGAGGCTGAGGCACTCCAACCATTATGGGAAGAGACACAGTCAAGATGCACGAGGAAAATCTGAAATATTCACATGGACTTTAAAATGTAGTGCATAACTGTGTACATGCCATTTTTCCATCTGTATGTGCGTACTTTGAATACCATTTTGAAAAGTGTTTTCAGCAATGAAGTGTCATTTTTTGAGTCTAAGAAATACGTGTCAGTAAGCTAAAGGGAACCTGCAGCAAAATCATAAATTATATAAGTGTTTTCAGTTGACACTAACCAATCTCAAACACCTGTGTAAAATACTTGGCCTCTTTCTTCCTTCAAATATCACTTATTTTAAACATTTCTTAAAATGAATGTTTATTTCATTTATTTCCTAACTGTCACTACTGGATTTTTAAAAGGTGGCATAATAAATACAGGAAGCAGGCTTTTAGGGTTGGGAGTATGTGTGAGGAGTTGCAGGTTTTTAAGAGCGAAAAGTGAGAAACCAGCCATCAAGACAACGACAGGCAGCACAAACTGAATATTAGCCTATAGTCACCATCCACACTTATCTTACTGAGCCTCTAAGGTTGGAAATGGTAACTTTGGTAACAGTCTTATTCCATCACCCATCTTCAAGCTCAGCCTTTTTTTTTTAACTCAACTACCCATCACAAGTTTTGTGATGCCAAATTTGACCAGTGGTGTAAAGTGGGGCACACTCACACAAAGACAAGCCACTACAATAATATATGTTCATGAATCTTCGTTATGACTGTACAGAGAAAAGAAGCAAAAGACTGGAGTGAAACAACTGCGAGATGTTGGTGAGTTAAAAGCGTCTCAATTTAAGATTCAGGGCATTAAAACGGATACAGTGCTGAAGACGGGAGCCAAAAACTACCTAAACATTTGAAATAAAGGCTTTTCTAGTCATCTTAGTGTTAAGTTAATTTACCTGTAATAAATAATAATCAGACCCTTTAGACTTGAGAGTGTCATCTTTATATACATTTTCACTCCCTGCTCAGCATGTGTCTTTCTTGTCAATTTTCTATTCCCTGCTGTCCTTACTTCCTCTCGCATCTCCTTTTTCATTTCTGCTTTTTCTCCAGTTTTCTGTTTTTAAGAAAAGGACGAGGGCAATGCTTCTGGTTATTGGTCCCTGAAGTCTAAATGTAGAACACACTCACAACCCATTAGTTGCATGGTACATTATCACGGTAGATGAAGATAGGGTATGTTATATATAGCATCTCTTAAATTAGATCTCTCCCTCTATCTGTCTTTGGTGCTGTTTAATTATTCTGTTTCCATATTCAATGAAGAGAAGAGAACAAGAGGAGAAAAAGAGAGGAGATTTATTTTTAGATTTTTCAGCAGGTTGTTTGGCTGTAAGGAAGGACAGCATGGTTTCAACCCCGGATTAGAGACACCTACAGTGAAACACACACCCACACACACACACACCTACAGTGACACACACACACACACACCTACAGTGACACACACACACACAAACACACAAACACACACACAAGCGCTATTTAGTCACACATCGGCAGGTAAGCCCTGGTATTCATGAAAATCTACAGAAAATGGTGTACCAATTATACAAATGTTTCTTACTGACAAAAGGCAATATTTGACCTGAATATATAAGTTATAGCAAAATCAGCATAATGTGTATATTTAAAATGCAATAGTAACTATAATAGCGACAAAACTCCACAACCTAATACATAGACATTTACTGACCTTGTTATTATCTGACCTCTCTGATAGCAAATACATTAGTGTTATTTAAGTGTGTGTGTGTGTGTGTGTGTGTGTGTGTGTGTGTGTGTGTGTGTGTGTGTGTGTGTGTGTGTGTGTGTGTGTGTGTGTGTGTGTGTGTGTGTGTGTACTCTCTCTTACCTCGTTCTCTCAGTTTGCGGAACAGTTTGGAGGATCCTCTCCATACTGGGGGAGTTTCTACCAAAATCTTCTCCAGCTCCTGACAAATGCACAAAAACAAACACACATATATGTCAATTAACTCAAAACCTACACCTTCAAGCTTCAAACAATGACATTTGCATTGACAGAGACAGTGGGTATCATGCAAGGATTCACAATAAAACAATCAAGTGAAAAAGTAACAAAGAAAAATGTAAAAACAAGAAAAGTTTTTTAAGATTTAAAAATTGTGTTTTCTCTTTCATATTTTTGAAAACATGAGCTGCCAACATTAATTGGATGTAAATAGGTCACTGGTAGAACAATGGAGCAATGTTTGATCAGCAGGTTCCTGTTTTGCATGTATCTCGTGCTCTACTAGAATGACCCCGTGGGTAACACGATACATATCGGTGCCTACTGCAGAGAGCAGAAATGCAAATGTATAATATTTGCAAGAAACGCTTTCCACTGATAAACAACTGGTAGTTGTAAGGCTCAGAAAAGACGGGGGGAAAGTAGACAATCTAACAATGATTTTTGAGCAAGGAAACAAATTAAACACATGTGTTGTGCCTCATACTGTAATAGACACGACGGTCTTGGTAAAAAGACTCCAAATGCAAACATAACCAAACACAGGGTACCTTTAAGATTGTATTGGGCTTTTAACCTGGTAAGAGAAAATGATGTCCTGTAGTTCTACAATATTTCAAGAAACATATAATTAGTTAGTCAGTTATTAACAAGTTAACTATGGTTTGTCCAACTGATGTTAATACAATTGCATTACAGAAGTCACCTGATTGGTGCCAATTGAATGGAACAATTGCTATATTTACATATGACTATTTTTCCATGTACATTTGTTATGATAAATTGAAGTGGAAAATGTAACAGATTCAAATGTTCAAAGGTGAAGGGGTCAGGATACTTTCTGCAGCCGCTATATATCACTCTTTAAACACCTGGACTGATTTTCATAGTCTAACTCTTAGTATATATAGGACATATATCGTTTACATGTGGTGGCCGCTAAAATCTTCCTTCACATGTTTTTATTTCTTTGCATAATGCGACAATGAAACTAATAATGATGTGCAATCATGCATAAATGCTAACAGATTCTGTCTCTGAAACAATCCTGGCAAAATCTGTATTTTGACTGCAGTGTGCAACAGATGTAACATGCAGCAGCAGCAGCAGCAGCAGCAGGAACAAGCATCAGGAGTGTGTGTCCCACCTGTTTGGCCAGGGACCTCCAGGGCCTCTTGTCTGCCAGGGAACGAGACAAAAGAGGAGAGAAGAAGAAGGGAAAGAGGAGAAGAGAGTTTGGGTGGGCTTGGTTAGATAGCATCTGTATGATCTAGAAATGGGTCTTAATGTGCCCGGTTCAGTCACAACACACACACACACACCAACAGGCACAGACACACTCACTGTATATACACTGTCATCATCACAGGCCCATTTGTACCGTCTAAAGTGCCCCGTGCTTGTCTTTGTAGTACGTGGAATGTCCCCGTAAAAGCACATACTACTTTTGTTCTGTTTTATACAACAAAGTTCATCTAATTCAACTTCAAAGGGGGCATTAGAGGATGTCGGCTGCTGAGAGGGTATGTGCGGCTGTATCGTATGTCAGTGAGCCTGGCTGGATGTAAACACACACATACAGGTGCACAGTTTGCACGCAATACAATCACATGCGCGCTGAAGGAAGGAATGGTAGCTCTTTTGGAAGTTTTGGTTTTGATCATCTCAACTTGTGAGGGCATTTTTAAAGCAGTTGTCACAAAGTAAAAAAATAAGTTAAGTGTCTGGTTTAGATATTTACTGGAGAAAGAGCCAATATGAGCAAATGGAATGTGGACAAGTAGAGTGTGTGTGTGTGTGTGTGTGTGTGTGTGTGTGTGTGTGTGTGTGTGTGTGTGTGTGTGGTGTGTGTGTGTGTGGTGTGTGTGTGTGTGTGTGTGTGTGTGTGTGTGTGTGTGTGTGTGTGTGTGTGTGTGTGTGTGTGTGTGTGTGTGTGTGTGGTGTTTGTGTGTGTGTGTGTGTGTGTGTGTGTGTGTGTGTGTGTGTGTGTGTGTGTGTGTGTGTGTGTGTGTGTGTGTGTGTGTGTGTGTGTGTGTGTGTGTGTGTGTGTGTGTGTGTGTGTGTGTGTGTGTGTGTGTGTGTGACTCACCTTAACCTCAGACTAACATTAGCTGTAAGGCCATCTGCTTTGAGGCTGGCTGGCCAGGGCTAATCTGTTAGGACTGGCAGCAGGCTGACAGAAACAGCAATGACGTGTTTAAACCAACTAAAGGGTTTTTTAACTTTCTGTAAAAAATGATCTATTTTACACCTGGCACTAGCATCCATATTGGGAGATACATTTTGGATCAGATGTGTCCATCAGCAAACTAAAAACACATTATTATGTTTGATTTGGTCGGTTATCAAAAGCATATAAAGATATAAAAATGCTTGTGTACCAAAAAGGAAAATAAAGAAATAAAACTTTAGCATCCAACTCGCCCAGTTATGTTCAGTAGCATTGTGAGTTTCTGAAATAGGTCTGTATTGTATAATACATGATGTTACGTGTAAGTGTAATCATTCAAATCTAGACACAGTTCAAATGTCATGAAAAAACCTGTATGGCTGCGTCAAACTGAAATGGCTCATACTAGAGGATGTAGTTTCCCTCAAAGCCAAAACATTTTTTAAAGTTCAAAAACACTTTGGACCTTGAAAGCAAGGTCTCTACACAATATATACAAGATACAATAATCTACTCTAGGTGGATAGGAACCCACATTATTATGTCCCATGTAGAGTGTTGAACCGGGTGAAAAAGTGTATTGAAACATACTTTTGGGTTCGCTCATGGTGACCGACTCGATGAAGTTCTGAGGAGTCATGTAAAGCTGCCCATCGTACTCCACAGAGCTGAACATGCGGAAGCGATGCTCATGGGACGACATGTACACGTCTCCTTCCTCAAAATCAAACGGACGTGCCTGCAGACATAAAAACAAAACAAAACGCAGAGCAAAATATTAATCTATTAAATAAAATATTATTAAGAATATTTTTTTAAAAAGTCAAAAGAGAATGCATAACAGAACAAAATAACAGTTAACAGAAGGACACAAAACAGTCAAAGTAGTGCATTTTACATTACTTACAATAAATCATAGTGAGTGATGTTAAAGTATAGGCATTACCAAAGGTACATGTCATAATGTACTTTAAGTATTTTACCAGCAGGCTTCCCCATCAAGTAAGAGGGAACTCTGACGCACAGACAGCAGAACCTAAACTGTCCGTGCCTCTTCACTGCTTTTGAATTTCTTTAATGAGGAGATCCATCTATTCTTGGCATCAACTTTTCAACTTGCATCTCTGGCGCAGTACAATAACAGGAAAAAGGGGCGCACGAACACACACACAAATACTTTGTCACTACTTTCTACTTGATTAGCATCTCTCCCTATCTCTCTCTCTCTGTCTCTCTCTCTCTCTCTCTCTCTCCCTCTCTCCCTCTCTCTCTCTCTCTCTGCGAGGAGCCAGGGCTTCAACTTGATTAGCTGCAGAGTAGGAGAGCAGCTCCCACAGATTGTGCTGCATGAAGCGGTGTAATTAGCAGAGAGGTTTCCAAATGTAAACCTGTTTGGCCGCAGGGCCCAGCGCACCGAGGTTCCTGCTCAGCGCAGCTAACATGCTAATGAGCACACAGATTCATTCATAAAGCTTTGATGCTGCCTTCACCGAGGGGGCTTTTGAAGGCGTGAATAGGAGATGAGCTCTCGGCTTCATAGGAATGCACTGTAATCAAGTGTAAGAGCACAGGCGCCCGTGGCTTTGACTCTCACTAATGAATGAAGTTTATAAAGTTCTGCAAAGTCAGCTCGGTGCCAAGCGGCACGACATGATGTGAAAAGTAATGCGAGCTCCTCGGGAAAAATATATTTAAATGGCAGTGATTCGAAATGACATTCAGTGAGGTACACCGTGTTCTTGCGTGGTTATAATGATATGTAGCCACAACTAAACCTGTCGCCAAGCCTTGTTCTCCTAACTGCAAAGCAGATGCTCCAGGTGTTTTCCCCTCAGGCAACCCAGTGTTCTCCATCTGCAGATTTATGTCCATCTCTTCATTTTTTTGTCATAAAATTAAAGTACAATCTATCTGGCTAAGGTGCCAGCATATATGAACCAGTTCTTAAGTCTGAGGCGTTAAAATGTCAATGTTTTTCAGCTCCTTTTGGAATCATACAAATAGGGTTATAAAGTAGCAGTTTTCTCTGTTGTCATACAACAAGTCTGATTTGATGATTTCTATCTATTTACCCAAGAGTTACCGAAAACATGTTTCATCGTGATATATATGATGTGATACATTTATATAGCGATAGAAGATTTTGGACATATCGTGCAGCCCTATGCTGCACGTGTCTCTTGATTGCCTGCTTCAGGAAAACTGACTCTGCCCCTCTGAGACTTACATTATTCAAGCTGATTGGCGTTCCTTTACCTATTGTCTTTATTAGGATCCACCTATGTTAGGAGTTCTTCTAGCGCCAAGCTGGCAAAACATTCCCAAGTGGTCCGTTGTCCATCTGAACCCAGCAGCGCCCAAACGCTGAGAACCACTCGGGTGGAACCATTGTCTCCTTATGTGATTCTCAAGTTTCCCAATCATCCAACCAGACATCAAGTCACTCTATATGATAGTAAGTTTGGTCAAGCCAACGTGTTCCTTAGTCAGGCATCCTTACTGTTCTTCTTATAGGCAGGAAACGATTTGATCCCAGGCTGTTTAGAAGATCAAACCTAGTCTCACAGCCTTCATACACAAAACATGAAAATACTTGATCAGGATTGGTCCCAAAAAATCTTGATCATGACACCCCGACTGATCATAAAGCAGCTAATTTGTATATCAAATACATACTCCGGGTTATCTTCCTAACAGCTGCAGTCAGGATTAAGTCTGTGGTCTTTTTTAATTATGGATGTATTCTGTTGTCTCTGGTTTGTAGGCAGAAGATGTAGGCTTCCTTAATAAACCTATTTATAGTAAAAATGAACAACAAAATGAACAACATTTCTGAACATGCTAGACACTGCAGACAGTATGTCAAATGTAGGTATGCATGCTTATATGCATGTTCTTATGTCAAGCAAGTGCATGCATATATTTCTGTTCAAGAATGCATACATGTATACATACTGTGAATACAGGCATATCAAGCGCACATGCATTAAAGTAGTATAAAGATTTAGAGATATCTGGAAAAGCGCTGCAACAAACACATTTCCTCACCAATCAAGGCTGCTGACTATTTGCTTCACTAATTGTTTGGCCTAATAAAATGTTAGGAAATAGTAAAAGGTAGTTTTCCAAAACTGAAGGTACTTCTTTTATTGTTTGTATTGTTTTGTCCAACCATCAGTCTAAAGCCCACATTCTGTCACCAACTAATTGTTTTCAGATTTTCACAAATGGCACTGAAAGTGGTATAAAGTAAGTTTACCACTAGCGTATCACATTTTTTTAATTCAGGAGAAATCATCATCTTATGAATGCCGAACATAAAAAAATATAGAAAGTAGTTAAAAAATTATTCCAGATGCAAAATGTAAGAACCTTTTACATGTTTAGGCGTCAATAATTATTAAAAAAAATACTATATATATATGAGTATAACTTCTGAGTAGCTCCCTTCTCCGTAATGATTAATTGTATGTATTTATTGTTTTACTTTTGGTTGATTTTACTGCTCTGAGTAATACATTACAAACTGTAACTTGTACTGTATTGTTTTTAACATGTGGAATGGTTAAGTTAAAAGTATCTGAGTACTTCTTACACAGCTGGAAAAGGTTAACTATAATTATTTCTCAAGCAACCAAATATTCAACATCAAACTGCAGGAACTACTTAGCTATTCAAGTATTTGGCCTTTTGGAAACTAGTTACAACTCTGAAATGTGTGTATTTGATTTTAAAGTGTTAGCCTTGAACAGATGTGGAAGAAGTATTCAGAGCTTGTACTTAAAGGGCCCATGTCATGCTTTTCCGGTTATTACCCGTCCCCTTGTGTGTTATGTGCTTTTTCTGCATGTAAACAGTCTGCAGAGTCACAAACCCTCAAAGTACACCCTGTAGCGAGTAAAACTCTAACACAGAAAAGACCTGTCTATGCTGCCCTCTAACTAGAGATGTCCCGATCCGATTACGTGATCGGAGATCGGAACCGATCACGTGATTTTCAAAAGATCGGAATCGGGAGAAAAAAATCGGGGATCGGGAATTTTTTTTCTTTTTTTTAATTTAATGTTACAAAACAAAAATGACCATGTTCACGTCTTAAAGTCATCCTGAGGACTTAGTTTTGGTTTAAAATGACACAACATCATGTATGTGTTGCTTCTTTTGGGCTTGTTTTCATAGACCTGGTTGCTTATTTCTCTCAAATCTGGCAACAGAGTGGGCGCAGTGTCTAATAGTAGCAGTAAGCTAACGAGAGGCTACGTTCAGCTGGTGACTCGGGAGTCGGGACAGAGAAAATGTCAGGAGTTTGGAAGTATTATAAAATTGAAAGCGAAGGCAGTGTAACAGCCAGATGCAATGTTTGCAAGGCGGAGGTTCCGCGTGGTGGAAAGAACAGAGCTACGTTCAACACGACCAATCTAACACGCCGCCTGAGAAACAAACACCAACAACAACACGACGAGTACACAGCGGCCACTCAGGTAACGGCACTGAAACGACCGACACTTTCAGAGACTTTTAAAAGGAAAGAGAAACTGCCCCAGAACAGTGAAAAGGCCAAAAGAATAACAGCCAAGATAGCTGAATTCATCGCGTTGGATGACCAGCCGTTATCTGTTACCTTTTTTTTCTCTTAATGCATTGCATGAAGATCGGATCGGGAAAAATCGGTATCGGCAGATTGTCAAAATCAAATGATCGGATCGGGAGCAAAAAAAGGTGATCGGGACATCCCTACCTCTAACGCCTCGTTGGGGATTTCTCTTTTTCCATTGTTTACTTCTTGGGTATAGTGACGTATTTTGGGTATAGTGACGACGTAACGTAATTGGTCCAAATGGACCAATCTGCGGAGCCGTTACGTTACGTCCGCGGAGCCGTTACGTCCGCGGAGCCGTTACGTTTGGACCAATCCGCGGACTTCCTCACACTCACACACTCGGCGGGACGTTGCGAGGCTCGCTGCTGCGAGGAGCGGAGAGTGTGAGCTGGCTCACTGGTGTGGGGTCGGCGAGACAGTGCACCGCGGAACTCAGCCTGGGCACACACACAAACTCCCAGCCAGGCTGCGGGTGTGTGTGTGTTTCGGGCAGGGTTTCGCTGTGTCTCGCTGTCTCGCAGACGGCCACTGGGCTCACAGGAAGGGGGGGGGGGCAGGAGCTCCAACAAGCCGTTTATGACAGAGAGTGAATACACATACTATACAGAGATGATCAGTAGAAATGGCCATGACAAGTATCTCTTTCGACTCCACTTCGAGCGATAGAACTTTTAACAAAGCACTTTTATACTAATAAAGGACTGGCTTATCTAAAGCCAGTGGAGTAGCACTTGAAATGTTTGGCTCTATGAAACCTGATGTACTTATATGATTCTGTTTTCTTCAAGGTTGTGTCTTCCTGGTCGAATGTACTTATTGTAAGTCGCTTTGGATAAAAGCGTCAGCTAAATGCAATGTAATGTAAAAAAGTGTAATACTGTTACCAGTGACAGTCCTGCATTCAAAATGTTATTCAAGTAAAAGTACAAAGTATTGGCATCAAAATATACTTAAAGTACCAAAAGTAAAAGTACTCGCTATGCAGATTGGCCCATTTCAGAATAATATAAGATATTATGTTTTGATTATAATTACTGATGCATTAAAGTGTTATTGAAGCTGGAATGACAGCTAGTTTGAATGACTTTGTACAGTATAGCCTACTGCAGGGTAGATTGTGAATGTTACTCCAAGTGTAACTAAAGTCCTTTAAAGGTGTTTTGTGTATGTTTGTGTGTAGTGGAGTAAAAGTACACTATTTATCTCTGAATTGTAGTCGGGTAGAAGTACAAAGTAGCAAAACAGTACAATTCTGAAATTGTACTTAAAGGTGGGGTATGTAATTTTGGAGCAACCAGCTCGAGTGCGCTATAATTTGAAAGTACACAACCGGAAAAAATGTGCTCCTTCCTTCAGACTTCCTTACAGAGCCCCTCCTCCAACACACACGAACGCGCACATGACCAATGAGGGCACGAGATAAGTTTGTGCACAGATGGAAGGCTGACAGGCAGGTAGGCCATCCAGTTACTTTAGCCGGGCCGGCTAAAATGATTGGTCGTGCTTTTTACAGCGCCACGGCTTCCACAGATGAACATTTTGTATGTATTTATTGTCAAAGCATTTAACATATTCATTGCTATCGGGATGTTAAGAGCATTCCATGGAATATAACAAAAAATGTTTCTGAAATAAATTACATACCCCACCTTTAAGTACAGTAAATGTACTTAGTTATTTTTACACCATTGGCCTTGAATGCAAGATGTTGCGTAACATCCCCACCGTGTTGTCATTTCAGCACCAGCTCAACCGGAGAGCGACATTTCCACATATGCGCGCGCACATCATCCTGCAGCCAAAACAGTGAGCGAGCTGTTTCCACTGGGCGTGGGAACAAATGACTCCGTTTATCCGTCCGAGAGGAAAAACTATGACTACAAAAAACAAGTAGGCTCGTCTCACTGAGCCGACTTTGGTCTGAAGAAGATGTGAAGCTCTCTGCCGTCTCTCTCAGTGGTCTGTCGTTTTTACCCCACAGCCCTTCATACCGAGGCCCCCTATGTCAACACTGAAGTCAACACGTTTCCTGCCACTGACTTTCCTGTCTACGTGTCTCTAAAGCCTGCTGTTTCCGTACAAAATATCGGCCTCCTACCTTCTCCTTGGCAATAACGGTCGGGATGGACGGCAGCAGACCGTTGTTTTCGTGACTCCCCATCCTCTTCCTGCCTCTGCCGCTCCACGTATCGTTGTAAAAGTAAGCCGCCACGGCACCTCCCGTTGCGAGACACATCCCGACAGCCAGACATTTCCGTGTCCTTCCTTCACTGGCCGTCTGACCGCCGAAGAGCTCGGTTCTCGCCGCCGTCCAGAGGTTTAGCTTACCGGCCAGTGCTGCCACTCTGCGGAAAGCGGCCATTGCTGCTGTTGTTGCTGCTGCTGCTGCTGCTGTCGCTGTGCTGCTGCTTTGATACAACTTTGCAGGCAGCACAAAGTATCGCTTTTCATCGCGAGATGTGCGGGCACTCTGTTGATGCTGAGGCTGAGAGCTTAGTCCCTCGGGAGGATTTGATGCTTCACTGAATGAGAGTGGGTGATTACATTTAAACCGCGATCAATGATAAACAAGATTCAGTCGTAGATAAACAGTGTAGTCAATATACTAAGATTACATTGAATTGAACTAAGACAATTACATGAGACTGGATTCATTCAAACAAAACTTATATTAAAATAGGCATACTTTAAAGTTGACACATCAAATCTCAAAGTGGGGGCTACCCTAATTCATGAACTTTATATCATATTTTACATTCCTGTTATCAATAGCAGCGCTGTACTCTGTTAGACTAATAAAGGTATTCTGATTCTGATTATAAGTATGTTCTAAATCAATGTGTTGTGTACATTCTTAATCAGCAAAATAACATGTGTATTGTCAGATAAATGTATTGGAGTAAAATAGATACTCATCAAATGTGCAAAAGTAGAAGTATAAAGTATACCCAAACATTTTTGAAAAAAAAGAACTAGAGCTCAAATATAACCCTAACTCTAAATCTTGGAATTAACTTGAAAAAACATCTTGGTTTACCACTAGGGGAATTTCTAAGTGACCAATGATATATACATTTGTCACTCTGCACTTTCCATTGAGGGTTAGTGGGGTATCACATTTCTAGTGGGAAGTTTAAGATCAAAGGAGCCAATGGAGAGCAGATATCAAACAGATATCAAAGATGAACTCTTCATTTAAGTCTTTACATGTTAGACTTATGTTAACCTGATGGGGCTTTTTCTTTACCTTTGATGCTGAGAGAATAAAGGGTAGAAGTCTAATAGATGTGCCTGTCACCTTGTTCTCACATGAAGCACCCGAGGACCACTCCTATGAGCTCCATTTAGCCAAAAGTTGAAAACAGATCAAACAATGACTATCAAAACCGCTTGATATAACTCTTGAAGGGGTTTGATATAGCTAATAAGCCCTTAATTTGTCCCTTTAATATCACAATCCAAACGAGTTTTTGCCGATCACGGTGACTAATAATACTCACCTAATTTGTTATCCTCGAGATGGAAAATGCTAAATAATTCATGCAAACATAATTTCTGTACAAAAAAATCCTTGGATGTTAAATGCCCACAAGTTTGACATGTAATTTAAGGTGGTCCGCCAGGTGTTTAATATTGACTGCATAACATCTCTCAATTCAAGTATTTATATTGACCCAAGCAATAGCACACTATGTGTTGTCTCACAATAGCCACAGTTTGTCCAATAAAGGTAAAACATTCATTGTTGTGGTTTATTTATATTTGAACGAGACCTATCTAAATGTTGAGAGAAAAATAATCTGAGTTTACGCCTATTTCTAAGTGACATACATAAATAGTGATGGAATTAAACAAGTCTATTTCATAGGGACCTTTTCAATCTTGCTTTAAATGAGGACCCCTGGAGTTCCCATAGACCAATGTTTGGGAACCACTTGCATTAATAACCTCTAGGCTACTTATTTAGTTATTCCATTATCCAGGCATTCGATTAGGTTGTAATTTCTTTTTGTGTGTGTGTGTGGGTGGGTGATGGGGGTATAACCCTAGGGGCCTCCTCCTCCTCCTCTCCATTGACTGCTTTGGCTGCATAGTGGGCTTCACTCTCAGTCCTACAAACAGGGCAGTAAACCAACATAACGTTTATTTTAAAGTAAACCATGTGACCCTGGGAACTGTTTACTTGCACCTTGTGTGTGGAAATGTGGCATTGCAGTTGACATCTTCATTGTGGCCAGGTCGATATCCAATACATCAGGATCTGATCAGCCTGGAGGCGATACCGATCGATCGTGTCCCCTTTTTAAAAAAAAGTTCATTTTTTTTACTAGTCATAAATAATAATGAAGCGAGGGAAAGAGGGAGGAGTATGGTATGCCACGCGCAAACACTGTTTGTCTGCCTTATACACTGTTGTACACAACCAGTATACACTAATGTAATGTATATAGGCAAGCACGACAGTATAAGAATAACGTATAAAGGAGTTTATAAATTAAAAGCACATGCAATTGTCCCACCTCTTCCTGTCATGCTTTGCTGGACAAATCGACACTAATACAAAATGACCATGCGTAGCGACCACACGCACGCACAAAAACACCTCTGCACCTTCAACTCATTTATCAACACAACTCCCAAGGGAGGGGGCAGCTGTGCACTCTCGTGCGTTTGTGTGCGCGAGCGCGTGTCTCCATAGATGCCAAAATCAATGCCATAAAGGCTCGAACATGGCCCTTGTGCTTGGATAAACCTCAGTCTTAAATTAAACATGCACCCCAAGCAACACAGATCTGAACAAATGATATGGCATGAATGAAGAAAGGAGGTCAGGTTTAATATGTTCTTAAGGCTACAGGTCAACCATTAATCTATTGGTTTAAGATTTTGGTCTAAAACAAAATACTCCATGTAAATGTCCATAAATGTAGGCAATACTATAATTTTTCCTGCAAATGAAGCATCATTGAAATTAAAATCTTTGGTCTGCAATGAGTTCGTTTTATTTTTATTTTTGGCAGAACGTGACCAATACCTGACGGCAGTTGTTTCGTTAAATATATGGCCGACGCAATACGACCAAAAGTTTGATTAATAAAACAGATGTTTATAACTGCACATTTACATAAAGAATTACCAGCTTCTGAAGCCCTTCAAGTGTCAAGTCAAGTGTCGGGGTATTATCTGAGCTTGCAGTTCAAACAGGTATATTCCCCTCTTCTGGTTGTTATTGCCTGATCCCCTTACAAGATCCCTGCACTTTGAAGCCTCAGTGTCTTTGATTCGTCTTTTTAAGACCACAATTAAGGCTATGGGCTCCTGCGCGGTTCAAAGCCCAGTGGAAAGATCAATGAAGGGATTGACAGTCAAGTGATGTCGTTTGCACAGGTGTGTGTGTGGGATCATGTGTACGGTTGTGTGTCTGTGTTTGTGTCTGTGCGGGCGCTGTAAACGTGCGACTGGGTTACATAAAACGGGGGCAATAAATCAACAGTAGAGTGCGAAAATTACGCAAATGGGGGCTTTCCTCTGTCTGTCTCTCCCGCTGCACCTGAGTCATTTCGAAACGGGGGCGTGGAGTTGTAAAGCGTTTAGGGTAATGGAAATATCACTTTCATGCTGTTTGACACACTCTCTCTATGTCCATTTCACACACGCTCACACAAACACTGTTAAATGTGCAACTGCTGAAGTGCCCATGAGCAATATTACGTCTATGAGCTTCAGTGAAGCACTCGTCTTGCTGCAGGGAAAACGAAAGGGGAAAACCCTGCATTGCTAATTTATTTGAGTAGTTTTTAATTTCCTCTCCAAGTCCCTGCGCTCTCTGCACTGAAACTGAACATCAAAGATGAGACAGCAGAACGATGAGCTGAGGGATGCAGATTGGGGTATCAAACGGGAAACAGATATGAGCCATAAAGGGAGATCGGGCGCATTTACATAAAAAGGCAACTCGGGGTGAATATCCGCATATGGGAGTAGTGCGTTGGAGTGAAGTGTGAGAGTGCAGGCAGGGGTACCGCAGAAATACAAGCTGGAGTAAAAATATGAGAGAGCAAGAGAAGAGAGGAGGAGAGGGAGAGAGAGAGATGAGAGAGAGAGAGAGAGAGAGAGTGAGAGGAGAGGAGAGAGAGAGATAGGAGAGAGAGAGAGAGGAGAGTAGAGGAGATGAGAGCGAGAGAGAGACTGAGAGAGAGAGATGAGGGAAAACCTCAAGTGCTCTGGAGTAAAGGGGAGTATCCGAGGTGAGGAGGAGAGAGAGGCAGGATTTGAGAGAGGGGGATAAATAGCAGAAGGAGAGAGGAGAAGAGGGACACGGGCTGCTGCAACCGGGGATACCTGCATACGTCAAGATAACGCTGGAGTTTAATCTTAATTAGATGACAATCTAATTACAGGTCCTGGTGACTGCGCCACAAACGTGCACTCACTCTGGATTTTCCTCCCGTACGTCCAACTTTTATTTTTCTCCTTTTCACGGACTGACCCTCGCTGGTTCGTACCGAGGCTCACCGCTCATCAATTGGATCTCCTGTGCTGTAAACCCGGATCGGCGGTCTTATCTGTGATGGGGCAGCGGCGGAGGTGGGGAGCTTCGCCAACGGATTTCTGGACAGCTTTGGCCCCGCGGGTGCAGCTCCGGCTCCCGTTGGCTCTCATTTCGTTCTCACCCCAGCCGGGGCGGTGGACTACAACTCGGTGACCGGACTGGGACAGCAGCATGACCACCTGGTGTCCGCAGAGAGGCTGTCCCGGAGCCTGGCCGACCTCAGTTATCTGAAGGGGATTCTGAGGCGGCGTCAGCTCTACTGCAGGACCGGCTTCCACCTGGAGATCCGGCCCGACGGCACCGTGCAGGGCACCAGGAAGGACCACAGCACATTCGGTAAACACCACTTCAAAAATAATATTCATTATAATTATGATTATGAGTAGCACGCCTATAGTGCATTGAGGAATTTCTGCTTGCTACAGTATATATGTATAGGCACTATTGTAGAATAGAATGACAGGTACGGTGGAGGTCCTGGAACAGACACACACACACACACACACACACACACACACACACACACACACACACACACCACACACACACACACACACACACACACACACACACACACACACACACACAGTTCAGTGTAATGTTAAACTGATTGTTAATTTAAAACTATGCATACCAATATAATATCCATACTTCCGCCACACAGGTTACTGGGATATGAAGTAGCCCACTGTGATGGCAGCTGCTGCTCTAACACCTAACTGTAATCTAACATTAGATGTTATAAGGCATACAGATTTATTACATGTTTAGTTTTATATAGTTTATTAAGAACATATAACAAAATAAGTATAACATAACAATACAATAAAAATCAAACATATAGTTCAAAACAATATAAATAAACAATGTGAATATATTACTTTTGTAA